TACATATAGTTTTACTACTAAAACCGATCAACAGATGACAGCAATAAATTTTACCAAGAATGGCGCCCCCTAGAAAACTGGGAAAATTATTTAGTTGAATTTATTGTTAGGAAATAAGACATTCGCATTTTTATTACTAAGCTCAACTGCGGAAATGTTAGTTTGCTGATACAATATATATTTTTATTTATCAATGCTGTTGTGTATAAAATAATTCAGCCATTTCTTAGTTATTAATTTTAAATTTATTTAAATTTTGAAAAGTTACTTAAAATTTTTAGCTTTAAAACGTAACATTATTGTCTTTTTATAAAGCTTAGTTAAAATATTATGTATCAAAAATATAAACCCACATAGAAAATAAAAAGAGAGGTTAAAGTTATTAAAGCTATTTTTTTTTAAGAAAAGCTATTTTTTTATTTTAAATTATTTCTAGTAATAATTATTTTCTACTTCGCTGTATTTCATAAATCATTATAATAATTATTATGGAATAGTTTAATATTTTTTCCTAAAATTCACTACCAGATATGGAATTAAAATTTAATTAAAATAAATCAATAAGATATGAAAATATTTAAATATTTTATTGTTATCTGGAACACACAATTGTAAAAAATTTTAGAACTTGGACGCATCAGGAAATGAGAGAAAAATTGATTACAAAATTTCAACTAAACCAACTAAACAAAAAGTATTAAGTTAAATGGATGGGTGTAAAAAGGATAGAAGATTCTCAGAAAAAAATTACAGTCGACATAAATAACAGAAAAATACATAAGGCAAATATGCCTTAATAGTTAATATATTAATTAGTCAGATTATCATTTTAAATAAATTAATCGCCAGCATCATTAAAAACTGTAGCCAACTGAAACAATGAATGCTGTGGATTACATACAATAAAACTCATAAAAGACGCTTAGGAGCGAAAATTTACCAATAATTAGTCATTTAACCTTCGCTAGCTTAGAAAGATCAGTTTTAGTTGTCGTGGAGCAAGGAGATGGTCTTTGTTTCGGATGCTCTGATTCAGAGGCATTATTTCATCAAAGATTGACCTTGTCTGGGGCTCAGTTGCAGTGACGGCATTTAAGTGGAAAAAAAGAAGGGGCAAAATATATATAGACTTCTAAAAGTACCCGGGAATATAGGGTGTACACAACAAAATTTAGTTACAAAATTAACTAGCTTTCCCAGACACTATTGCTTTTTTATAATTCCTAGTTTTAGAGAATAAAAATAAGATAATTTAATTCTTCCCACAAAAAGTAGGGGGAGATCGCCCCCCAGGACACCCTGATTCGCCGCCACTGCTCAGGTGATCGTTAAATATGTCGTCGCAGATCAAGCAGTCCCAAAGCTTGTGTAGCATAGAAGCTTGGAAATGAGTGCGAGATCCCGTGTTGTTCTCGTTTTTTTGATTGTTTGTACAAATTTTTTTCCCAGCAGCCTTCGCAGCATCACAATAAGATGTTAATCTAGTAAATGAAAATGCTAAAATAAGTCATAACTCCAAAATAAGTTAGCTCGAACGCAACGTCGAGCTAATGTAGTATATAATATGTAGTTTATTAAGTGAAGATACTTTTGCACGCATAAATAATTTTAATTATTCTATGGCACAGTTTATATTGACATAGCTCTCTAAAATCCACTGCAACAAATTTGTTTAGACCAAAGGTTTCTTAAACAGCGTGTCGCAAACTTTTTGCATGACCTTTCTCTTTTAGTTTCTTCGCTGTTTTTAAGCAAAGATAGTGAAAAAAACCATTTCGATTTAGAAGATTTTCATAAAATGTGCTTTTCATAATTATTTTTAAATTTATTAACTTTCATATATGAATAATTAATGCTTCATTTTCTTTTTTATTTTCCAACTCTTTCCAATTTCAAAGAGGGATCATGACTCACGAATAACAAAAGTTTCAGAAGCCGTAATTAGATACAAAAATTTATTAATAATAATTTGATTTGTAATTGTTCTCAGATTCGTTCTAGTTCACACACAATCACGAATAGCAACTCGCTTATCCATCGCCACGTCTAAATAAACGGCCTGACACCAACAGCACATTTACAAGCTTAAAGCTAACTTTTCAGGGTAAATAAGAATTCCGAATACAGGAGAACCCAAAAAGTCGTGAAGAATTCAGAAATAAAGAAAAAAATCCCGATACGATCAAGAGATGGCAGCAGGAAATTTATGTAAGGCACAAATCTTCTTAAAATGTTGAAATCGTCGTTGGCGGTCTTGTCCAGGACACCGACTACGAATTATCTCGTAAGAACTTATTTACCTATTATGAGATAACTCATAAATTGGCTTCTAGGACCGGAAACCAGCAATTTGCATTGGCACTTCACGTGTTAATCACAAGAAAAATATAATTTTGAATACCCTGCCCCTTTCCTCTCTACCTCCCTCAACAGTCCTCGTGATTTTTACAAATAGGGAAACAGCTTGTGTCCCCAGTGGCGCAATTGGTTAGCGCGCGCTATTTATCAGCAGTAACTGCGAGTAATGCCGAGGCTGTGAGTCCGAGCCTCGGAAGTATATATATATATATATATAGCATTCTGATTGGAGAAAATGTACGTTTTTCGACAGTTGTGTATTGAACAGAGTGCGATATTTTTTAAAATATAGCCTAAGGATGTTTAGTTAGGCAATATTCTTTTAGCTCATTTGGATATGACGCCGAGCCGAAACGAAGGACATGAATTCATTCCCTATGTGTAAGCCATTCCTTAAAACTAATAAAGGGATACTTGGACACAGACTTAAAACTTATGGATGTATAAACATTTAAATATGCATAAAAAATGTATATGTATGCAAATATGTATAAACGGCAAATAAAACACGCAGCTAATCTCAACAAGACTTATATTATTATTATTTGTTACTTCCTTTCCAAAAAAACAATGAGGAAATCAATTTGATTCTTTTTTTTTCCCCTAATCAAATGCTTCCATACACTTTGCATTGTCTGAAAATACTGAGAACATTGTTATTCTGAAAAGATCTGCTATCTGTTTAGGCCCATATTTCACAGAACAGAAATAGCTTTTTCTTCACTGGAATTCATTACAACCGTACCCAAAATAAGGCCACACTCAAGAGTCAAATGTTTAAAAAGTTATTTGTTCTAATCGTAAAAGTACAGAGTATCTAGCTTTTAAATGCGAAAAAGATTAAATGAAATATATAGTGAAATATTAAGGACTAGAAGGACGGTCTTGTAGAAGTAAGAGTTTTTAGAGATTATATTGCATATTGAAAATTATGATCAATATTTCAAGCTCAACAAGGATACTAAAAGGAGTATATACATAAAAAGTTATTCCAAATACTAGCCACTGAAACAGGAGCGGCGTTAGAATTCGCCCGTCTCCCCGACCTGCTGTACAAGAGGAAAGGCGTAATGATGACTCTCTCTCAGTGGCTACTATTTTTGCCAGATCTTTATTTATCGACTGGTTGAATAGCCTGTTGCGTGAACAGGGTGCAAAAATTTGCCCCGACGGGGGGGGGGGCCCGGCCCCCCCTCCGGGGGGCCCCTCTGTCCCTCCCCGGACACCCCTTTTGGCGCCATTCCTGCACTGAAAATTACCAGGTCTCATATTACCATGGAATAATGACATTTACTACTTTCGTATTTTCTTGTTTCGTAAACGAAAATCTTATTTTTTAAATTCTATTTTTTTTCAATATTTTATTCATCACAATTCAGATAATTAATATAAAAATAAATAATTTAATCGCCACTATTTCCGAAGCAGTTTATTTCATTGTAAGGTTGGCATCTATAAGTTGGAACACACGCAATTTGGTCGCCAATATGGTTACCTAAGGAATCATGCGGATTAGTTCCATTGGCAACCCATCAGCTAGATCGCTTACGTCATGGCAAGCGTCACGCGTTTTTGAGTTGTTTACATACTATCCGGATTTTTATAAAACTTAAAAATATTTATTAAATATTTAATTAAATAATAAAATATATTTTAATTAGGATAATTTCAAATAGTAAAAAAAATGACAAATAGAATTTTGATTTATTTAGTGATTATATATTTCTCCGATCACATAATTCAGAAAATTTTTCTTTGCCTTAAAATAAAAATCGATCGCATGGAATTTTTGGAAGTTCATTGGTCGAATTTTGGACTTCATCAATTGGAATGCTGTCTTCACCTGCATGATGGTTTCCGTGCTGCGCCGTATTGTTCATTTTTTCTTTTTGATATATTTAGAGTGTTTCCTTCAAAGTGCAAATATTAGAACTGAGTCAATTTTAATTTTTTACTATTACTTGTCCTGAAAAACATTTGGCTACTAAGGGCAAATGTTAGGCTGCTTCATTAGAGTAATTAAAAGAAGCCGACTCCGTACATTCACTAAGCTAGCGAAGCTACTAGGTTCCCGCTTTGCTGAAAGCGAAGCCGATGTTTTTTTAAATTAAGAAAATTTGCCTGGTGCCCATTTCAGTCATTAGAATAATTAAAAGCAACAGCTTCCTTACATTCAATGGGCTAGGAAAGCTACTAGTTCTGTTGAAATTCTACATTTGAAACGGGAAATAGTGCAACGACAAACGCAATGGGTTCGAAAAAAGATAACTTTAAACGATTAACTTTTAACTGTGACCAATGCATGTTTGTTTACCATTAACATTCATCTTGCTTTGGCGACTTGGCGCCGTTTTAATAGGAGTGTGTTCCAACTTCTAGATTTCAACCCATTCTAATATTAATATGAGTTGTCGATTATTAAAATTGTAGATATGATGAGAAATAAATCTAACTTCGAAAATTTTGAATTAGCAGTTATATTTATATATTAATAATGTTACAAACATTCTTTGAAATAGGTAGTTATGAAGACATTTAGTAACTAAAAATAAAAACAGTATAAACACCACCAGCGAACTCCCCCTTCACCGAATCTTACTAAGTGCCGAGGACTACTTAGTATAGATATCGTCAATAAACGAGGCCCATTAGCTCAGTTGGTTAGAGCGTCGTGCTAATAACGCGAAGGTCGTGGTTCGATCATGGCCATACTTTTCGGCTGTCTGATGCAAAAGTGAAAGGAAAGTTTTCAATTTCTCTGCAACTGCAAAACGTTATTAAATCGCTACAAATTCCTCGCTGTCACATTAAGATCTTTTTTCATATAATTCTGTATACCGCTCTGTTGTATGTTACACAAACTCAAAATAAGGTGCATAAACTCAGAAAAAGATCTGAATTTACACAGGTTATAAGAAAATATTTTTGTTTGTTGATTTAGTTCAAAAAGTGTAACAAAAAAATCTATATAATGAATGTTTGCAACATCACACTTAGCAACTCTTTTCTATCAACAAAAATTATCTGAAGCTCAGTTTTTTTTTCTTTCTGTTTCTCATGAAGAATAAGATGCGCCTTGCACTAGAATTCTATCTGTTACAGTGAAACCTCTCTGAGCGGCCACCCCTCCGTTCCGAGAAAATTTGGCCGCTCAGAGGGGGTGGCCGCTCTGAAGGGTTTTCGTTACAATTAGACGATAATTGCTATAATATATAATATAAACAAATCTGACGCATATTTCTTATTTAAAATGAAGCTTGAGACTTATCTAAACAGAAAATAGTACTTTATTTAATGAATTTTTTCATTTTTTGAAAAAAGGATACAATTTGTGACTGTTTTAAGTTTTTACTCTTCTCGGAAACAACTATTCTTTCAAGTTCGTTTGACATCTCCAAATGACCAGGGGTTTCTCTTTCTCTCCAGCTGCGCTCACACAAAAACAAATGATAAGCCGCTCCTTCGGAATTTTTCCACCTCTGGCTTCTTCGGATTTTTGAATCATGCTCTTATTGGGCAAAGCGCGAAGAAAGAGTGCCGTTTCGTCCATGTTAAATATGTCCTCGTCATCATATCCAGCCAAAAGAAGTGGAAGACGCTTCTGCCAATCTTCACATGAACCGGGGTCGAGATAGGCTGCTTCGTCAGACAGTGATCGAAAAGTAATGTTGTTCCGTATGCGAAATCTGTCCAGCCACCCATTTCTGGCGGAGAAATTTTCAATTCCCAAAGCATCGGCAAGTTCTTTTGCCTTGTGTTGAATCATAGATCCACTGACAAGAATTTTCTTCGCCCGAACAGTTTTAAACCATTCCAAAACAGCCTCGTTTATGTTGACATACTTTTCGTGTCTCATCCGTTTGACACCACGAAATTTGAAGTCTTCGTACTCTTTCAAACTCAAATCTTTTTCTGTAATGATTTTGTTTATTTGCGTTCTTCCGCAGTAAAATAATTCAGCTAACTTTCTCGCCGATTTGCCCTTCTCATATTGACGCAGAATTTCAATGCGCTGCTCGAGATTTAGGAAAACGCGCTTCGACATCGCGTTGCAACTCAGATCACTGACCATCTAATGAAACAAGCGTGAATGACATTTTTGCTCCAAAATTATCGGAATCCGCTAACAGCCAATAGGAAGCAAGACGTACAAACGAACTAACGACCTCCCTTAACCTGACCTGAGCCTTTCGGCTCAATGTTAGAAACATGAAGTAAGTAGATTTTGCTGAAAAATAGGATGGGCGAACCCAACAGGCGGCCGTTCAGAGGGGTTGGGTGGCCGTTGCTAGGGGTTATTTTAACATTAGGTCTATGGGCCGAAAAATCCGTGCCACGGAAAATTGGCCGTTAAGAGGGGTGGCCGCTATGCAGGGGTGGCCGTTCGAAGAGGTTTCACTGTATATAGTAAGTCTTCCCTGCTATCATTTTTGCTCTTTTTTTCGGGATCAATATTTATGGATAATATTATAGGATAATTTTCCTTACATACGAACTAAATACACTAAAGAGAGACAGTGATGGAGTGGGCGACGAAGCGCACAGGCTTTAGGGCCACAATCTTAAGACTCCTGACAAATTTTGATTTAATTTCCTCTTTAAAAAGAAAATAATTTAAACCTGAATAATTTTAATTCATTGGGGGTGTTCTGTAAAAAAAGTAAATACAGCAAATAAAACAATTTCTTCTGCTACTTTCCAAGCCAATGATTGTAAAGAATCATAATAATAAAAAACAAAAGATTCGAACCTCTAATTCCAAAACATTGTATCATGATTATGTTCGAGATTGATCTGTGTCTCTTCATATTATTTTTCAAAAATGTACTCTTTATTATAGAAACGATAACGTGCACACAAAGAATGTATTTAACACTGTAGCAATGCGCAGGTGTATAAAAGCAGTCACTAAAACAATGAAAAGTATTGTTGTAAAATATAGTTAAAAATTATTAAAACTGGATTAAAATCGTAAATCAAATTGATATCACTGAAACACTATTTTTTGAGTTTTGAAGTGACGCAAGAATTGTTTTAGAGCAATAACATGCTCAGAAGTTAGTGAAGCAAAAATATTAAAATTGCAATCATTTTTAATTAAAATTTTGAAAAACACTTTCTTCCTACTACCCATGAAGTAAAATTGTCTTTTAGAGCGCTTTGAACGATTCTTGCATCAAGCAATTTACCGATAGTATCCAGCCTATAAATATTGTGTCAAAATGTTCAAAAGAAATCCACTTCGATGGCCATTATTTTTTACTAGAAAATCACCTGTCATGGTTTGACGGGTGCAAATTGCCTCTTCATTCGAGAGATTTCCCTTCAAATTTGACGTGTTTAAATAGATATATATGCGAGAGAAATGTTTAACATGGATTGAAAACAAATAAAATAAACATGTATTACAACAGGAAATATTTTTTTTAATTTACATATTTCTTTATTCAAAAAACCTCTTGGTAAACAACATTCCGTGTGAAGTATTTTTCGTTGTTTATCAATTTTCCTTGTACTTCAGATGTCTTTGTGTAAATTTTAACATGATTAGGAATCCTAGACCTTGAAAGTGCAACGTAGAGCTGCCCATGTGAAAAGACAAGCTCATCGAGGTAAATTTCAACATGGTCAAAAGTTTGCCCCTGTGATTTGTTGATAGTCATCATGCAAGCTGGAATTAACGGGAACTGGCGGCGGTTCAGAACGAATGGTAGATTCACGTCACTGGCGGGCAATTCAATTCTTGGCAAAACATCGCCGTGATTGCATTCAGAAAAAATTTGGCATCCAAACTATATCACGTGCATGATATACCACCATAAATTACTACTTTCTATTAAAAAAACGGAAATTAATTTGAAATATAGGATTAATATAATTTAAAATTTCTCAGGAACTATTGATCATAGCGAGATAAATTTTATATCAATCGATAGAAAATTCTATTTCACTATTTTAGAGCTATTAAATTTGAAATTAGAACAATTACTCTTTTAAATTTAAAATTACTGAAATTTAAGTTCTCTAACAATGAAATATTGCTGCATAACATCTCGCAGTGCTATGGCGCGAGTTTTATTGTTGGTGATGTCAGAGCGTTACCGGAGGATCTGGGCTATTATATTAGTAATGATTTTATTATTTAACCTAATCTCTGCCATAGCCGCTGGAAACTCTCAAATAAATTCTTACACTTATTGAACAAGTGAAGCAAAGTCTCGGTTTCAACTCCAACATTTCGTCTGTCTGTAAACTTGTTTGTTATGCAGTCACAACCAAACTTGAAATTCGATTTTCTTTGAATTCGGCATGAAGGTTCTTTGAAGTCATAAAAAACAATATATGCAAGAATTTTTATTTTTCAATTGTTTCCAAGATGGCAGCCATTTTAATGGTTTCAATATTTTGGCACCATTAATTCATTAGTCTTTTTGGTTAAAGTCGAGACATTTAATTGCAATTTGGTTAATGTTGACGAAAGCAGGCATTTAATTATTTTGTTAAATTGTTTTCAAAGATTTGAGTAAATTCGCATTAAAAAAAAAAAAGACATACGAGATCAGTTTTGTGTTGCCATTTCCTGTTTAGTTGCACTTTATCTTGCTTTTCTCAAAAGGTTTTTTTTTTTTTTTTTCAATAAATCTAGACAAACAGTTCAGTTCAACAGTGTTATAAAAATTTGAAGTCCTCCAATCACTCTTGAGTGTAAAATTTTCCCACAGCTTTGTCATCGAAAAAAAAATAAGGGCTAAAGAATCGCATTGTAATCTTGTGCAACTGAAAGAAATCTCAAGATACCCTTCTAAATGTAAAGTGTTTCAATGCATGTCCCTCTTTTTCTATTCATTGAAAAATCTGTTATCCCTTTCAACGTACTATGAATTCTTAGGCCTTAAAAAGTGAAATTATCATTTTATCTTCTCAGCATTTCCCTTCTAGATTTGATTTCAAGACACACATACTACATCTTGGCTTTGTCACTATGACGCTGGTCACACATATGGAAATGCACCAGAAGTAAAATAAGCTGAAGAGTGATTAAAACCACCTATAGTTTACTTCTATTAGAGAATGAAATCCTAATGTGCAGACACATCTAAAGCAGCTGGTACTAAGAAGAATCTAGTACAGATTATACACATTCAAGACAAATGTTAACTCTACAACAACAATTTTAGCAACTCTATGCCATGACCATAATACTACCAATATACAGGGTGTCCATTAATTAAACGACCCTATTTTAAAGTTGTCTACAGACAAAACTATTGTTCAGAAAGTTGTGTGGACATAATGAAGGGATGGGAATTTGTTTCAATAAAAAAAAAGTTCAAAATTTTGCACTAGAGGGAGTCTTACTTAGAAATACCCATTTTCTTCAATGAATTAAGTGCTAAAGGTCCAGTAACACGCGCGATCAGGCAGCGATATACATCGTTGTTACAGAATAAAATTGTTCTGGATCTGCAAGCACACAAGTGCCTTCATACACTTTTTTATTTAAGATGAGGCTCCTCCACACATTACTCTTTATGTCAAGAAGGTCCTCAAAAATCACTTCATAGAAGGTTTCACCAGCCGGCACTTTTGTAATGTGCTCAATCCCCAGACCTTAATCCATGCGACTTTTGGCTTTGGGGGCATTTGAAATATCTGGTAAGTCATAATAAAAGAACTTTACCTGATATTAAAGACAGCATTTAACAAGTTCTCGGCAC